ATGTATGTTATGTATGAAATAAATGCTTTGACTTTTGAATTTAAATTTGAATATTGTACATATTTGTGAGAACAATATGAAGATACGTTTGAAGTGACGACGTAGGTCGTATACCGTACCGACGTAGGTAATATATGTAGATATATTTAAACAAGAATGATAATTACGCGGACTCTCTCGTTAGCCGAGAGGTCGCTAGTCCGACTGCCGGGCACGGGGTCTTCGGTTCGATTCCTGGATCGGGCAAAGTACTACTGCGTTTTAAAAAAATCTCAGTAGTAGCACAGAGTAAAAAATTGTGCCCGGTATATGGCAATAGGCTCACCTCCTATTATACGGGACTCATAACATTAATAGTGAAAAGTGGGTGTTACATTGTACTGTGGCATTAAGGGCCGTAATGTGCACCTCTGTCTACCCCTTTGGGGATAAAAGGCGTGATGGTATGTTATGTTATGTTATAATTACACGTCTCGATTTTAGCAAAACATTATGCAAAAAATAATTAAAAAAAAAACTAGTTTGTTAAGTCTTTAGAGCTATATTTTAATAATACATGATCAACCTTTAGATGTTATTGTCTTATTTTAAACTTAGTTGTTGCCCGCGACTTTACCCGTGTAGAATATGAATTTTAGAACATAACTTTTTTGTTTTAATTTTCCAAAATAAAAGTAGCCTATGTTACTCCTTGGTACATCAGCTACCTGCCAATAAAAGTCTTGCAAAATCGGTCCAGGCATTCTAGAGATTAGCCAGCCACAAACATGCAAACAAAAAGTGTAAAAAATGTTATTTTGATTTATGTATCGTATGTAAAGGATCCCGGGCTCCAGGATTCCGGGATCCCGATCAAATTTCAGTACCGTAATTTTCGGGATTATTTTTTAAGTATACCGGGATTTTCGGGATTGGAATTTATGCTCTTACCAATACATTTTGAGATTCATTTTTGTGATGAAGAAATGAGCCGGGATCGAATCCTCTAATCGTATATTCATATGCATGTAGTAAAAGGCGGTTATTTTAATATTACAAACAGACACTGCAATTTTATTTATCTGTATAGATAATAGATGTTCAACCTTAAAATCATTTTGTCTTATTTTTATATAATCTCCGAATATTCGTCGCAGGATTCGTAAATCGTAATAATTTTATTCGACTTTAAAAAACAGAAGAAGCGATGTATGTATGTTTGTCCGTCGCGGAGAACCTAACGGGCAACCGGGGCTCCGGCTCGACGTGCAGGAGAAGGAACGGGGTGGTTTTTAGTCAGCAAGAGTCTGACACTCCCTCCCGCCTCACCCAGGCGGGAGCAGTCATTCGATGATTTACCCCCTTAAAAAATAAATGTATGTTCGTCCGGGATTATCTCGCGATAGACTGGACCGATTTTGATGCGGCTTTCAGAAAAGTGTATGTTACGCTTAGGCTGGTTTTGGTATATTAACTAACATAACACATAACATAACATCACGTCTTTTATCCCCGAAGGGGTACCCCTTGAGGAGACCGGACTCTGACCGCGGTCGCTCATTAGGAAGAGCCCCCCTGTGGTTCGAAACTAGTAGAGCTTTTCTCAGTGAGTAACCCGCGATTTTTAGTTAATTTATTATGAAATAAATGTGTTTGTAAGTTTGTTTATCAGTTACTCAATCACGTCAAAACGGCTGAAGGGAGCGGGATGAAATTTGGAACAGGGGTAGATTATGGTCTGGAATAAGAAAGAAAGAAAGAAAGAACATTTATTCAGCAACAGACACGATGCAGCGTAAATCTTATACTATTATATTAAGCGGAAGAGTTTGTTTTTTTGTTTGTTTGTTTGAACGCGCTAATCTCCATAACTACAAGTCCGATTTGAATAATTCTTTTTGTGTTGGATAGCGCATTTATCGAGGATGGCTATAACCTATAAAATTTCACGCTATGATCAATAGGAGCGGAGCAGAGCGTGTGAAACAACGCTGAATTAGCTAGTAAAATATAAAAAGACAATGAAGGTGTAACAGTGGAAGTAATAAAAACATTCAGTTAAAAACTTAAAACAGAAGAATTAGAAGAGAGACGCTGACAACATGCCTATGGTAAAAGGGTCACCCACTCAGTGTAAGCCAGGCATACAAGTCACCCAGCACTGATTTTCAGTGGACACCCACGCATGAATGAATAACACATAGGCGAGTTTATATCCCACGGAAACGTGAAATAAACGCTTCATTGGGACAAGTCTGCCACAACCTCCCAATACCGCTGCAACTCCTGTGCACCAGGATCTACAGTAGATACAACCATGAAGACACCGGGACACTGAAGTCCGGCGCGTCCCAGGGACATGAGTAACTGTCTTGGTTCCCACAACGAAGTGAATCAGAAGATATTATGAAAGGAGAATAAGAAAAAGCTATAGTTATACTAAAGCTAGTAGGCTATAAACGACTTTGTGTGATCCACAAATTGTTGTTTCGGGTCTGGGTGTCATTGTGTATGTGAACTTGTATGTTTGTAAACGCACCCACGACACAAGAGATAATCCTAGTGTGGGGCAACATTATTTTTTTAAACAATATAAAGAAATAAAGCATCACGCTATGAGCAATAGGAGCCGAGCAGCAGGTAAAACCGCGTGAAATTGCTAAGTTAAAATATATTTTAATTTGCAAGTTGTTCCGTGAAGCGACATAAGACTCAGAATAAGGAAAAATCGTGTTAAAATTCAAGATGATTATCTTCTTATTGTTTAGATATATATAGTCGAAAATATAAATCTATACAGATAAATAAAATTGGAGTGTTTGTTATATCAACACAACAGCGTTCTACTACATAGGTACATATGAATATACGTCCGATACATATTACACATACCAACGTATCATTTTTTAGAATTTTTGATACCTGTCTGTCTGTTTGTACTGGCTAATCTCTGGAATGGCTGCACCAATTTTGACGAGACTTTTATAGGCAGATAGCTAACGTACCAAGAAAAAGTTATGATGGCCGCAACTGTGCGATTCTCCCGTAGCTTTCTGCCTCGCACAGCAACACTGGAAGGGTCTGTCGTCGGCGGTATTTCCGAACCGATACGACCATCAAACCTTCAAGAAAAGATCCTGTGACTCCTCTGATGTTGCAGGTGTTCATGGGCGGCGCTGGGGGCTTACTCTTGAATCCAATTCCGATCGATCGACATTGGTATTGTGAAATTTCGTACTCTCGAGTTGCAATGCTAGCGCCCATTGCAACCGTATTGCGTGGATATTTAATGAACTAAATAGTATTGAGTTTAGCTTTATATTCCGTACTCTGAATGCTATTTTAATAGCTACGATAGGGGTTGTATAGTTTTGACATTGAATAGTTATTGAGATTTTATTGGATTGAAATTGCATTGACATTGAGATTGGTTTCAAGAGTAAGCACCCTGATCGCTTACCATCAGGTGATCAGTCAGCTCGTTTGCCTCCTATTCCATAAAAAAGTTTCGGAGTCGCGGAGAACCTTCGGAGTCGCGGAGAACCTAACGGGTAACCGGGGCTCCGGCTCGACGTGCAGGAGAAGGAACGGGGTGGTTTTTAGTCAGTAAGAGTCTGACACTCCCTCCCGCCTCACCCAGGCGGGAGCAGCCATTCGATGATGTTCCCCCTTAAAAAAAAAAAATCCATAAAAAATTAAATTCTATTTTTTTGTTACGTTCGTCATTCATATTCTGCAACGACAAAGTCACGGGCGACAGCGAGTATTTAATATATTTTTTAGAGTATTCTGCCAGTTTGAGAATTGGTTTTCGTGAAGGTGAACATTTATCGAATTAATGAATAAGATATTCATCCTTCCTTTTTATTGTTAAAAGCTCAGTTTAAAGTGAATAATGGTATCAAGATTAGTTCTTTTATGTTTCTCTGTGCATTCCGTGGTTTCTATGTACGAAGGTAGGTACCTAATTTTATTTTATTTTCTATGGTATAAGTCGGAGAATGAGCAGTCGGGAGTGCACGAGATTGTGTATTGTGACGTCACGTTTTTTTACCGTCAAACAACATAGTTATTTCTTAAAGATTTGCTAAAAATACTAAAACTTATTTGGTCATAAAATCAATTACCTAATGAAAGTGTGATTACTTTTTTAAATATTTTATTGTATTGAACAGTCGAAATAATTTATTTTTGATTATGGAAAGTACCTAATTATTTAACTGTGTTTGTTTAGGAGATACGTGCACAAAGGAGGATGGAACGGATACAGGGATATGTACCATCTTGATCAATTGTTCGACTGCCCTGGACGATCTTAATAACGGCGAGATACAACCTCAGGTAAGGTCTGGGTGCTTACCTACTCTTGAAACCAATCTCAATGTCAATGCAATAATAATTTCAATCCAATAAAATCTCAATAATTATTCAATGTCTAAACTATACAACCCCTACCGTAGCTGTTGAAATAGCATTCAGAGTACGGATTATAAAACCAAATTCAATACCATTTAGTTCATTCAATATCCACTCAATAACGGATGCAATTGGCGCTAGTGTTGCAACTCAAGAGTACGAAATTTCACAATACCAATGTCGATCGATCGGAATTGGATTCAAGAGTAAGGCCCCAGGTCTGTCTTCTAAACAAGATTATTTTTAAAACCAATGATGATTTGCTTGACTCGAGAATCGAACTTGACCCTTTGCTCATTGGTCTCTCTCCCGCAGTAAATCTCACATAGAAAACACAGGTCTGAAACCATATTTGTATTTAAACAACCACAATGGTCAACTGCCATTATGATTTTTTCCAAGTTATATGTACTTTCTAAGATTGTTTAGACACCACTGACAAACGGTGAAGGAAAACATCGTGAGGAAACCTAGGCTTATAACTTCTAATTATAAGTTTGAAATCGTCAACCCGCATTGAGCAAGCGTGGTGATTAATGCTCAAACCTTCTCCGTGTGAGAAGAGGCCTTTGGTCAGCAGTGGGCACTTATAGGCTGTTGATGGCTGTATTTTACAGACGGTATTTTTTACTGTCCTTAAAGGTTTTTTTTCGATCTCTTTGACTGTATTTTAGTGTTAGGTACATTATTCTCGCACAATCCAAACAATAAAACTATGTAACTAGAGAATTGTATTGTGAACCTGATTGAAAAAGAGTAACCTATGGAGTTTCTTGCTCGTTCTTCTCCATAGGAATCTACACCTTGGAATGAGCAAATAGCGTCACTTTTATTTTTTTTCTTGACGTTCAAAAGTGCCTTTCTGATCTAATTGAAATAAATTATTTTGACTTTTGACTGTCTCTTTGGCCGAGTGGTCGCAAGTACAACTGCCGGTCAAGGGGTCTCGGATTCGATTCCCGGGTCGGGCAAAATATTACTGGGTTTTTTTTTAAAATTCTCAGTAGTAGCACGGAGTCTGGAATTGTGTCCGGTATATGGCAATAGCCTCACCCCCTATTACATGGGACTCATAACATAAATAGTGAAAAGTGGGTGTTACATTGAACAGTGGCATAATGTGCACCTCTGCCTTCCCCTTCGGGGATAAAAGGCGTGATGTTATATTATGTTATGAATTTGACTTTTTTTGATTTTCCACAGATCTGCAGTTTTCCACCTAGCAATATAGAACCCATCGTATGCTGCTTTAACAAGTCTAGCAATGTTGAAAGGTAAGTGGTCCAAATAATTTACTTCTTAACCGACTTCAAAAAGAAAAAAGAGGAGGTTCTCGATTTCACTTGTATGTTTGTATGTAACA